GGCTTGGGAAGCTCTGCAAAACCACCTTACCAGGTCACTTACTCCCTTATGATGCTTGTCAAGTCACTCAGTTGCAATTCTGGGTACCAAGTCCTACCGCGGGAGCAGCTTCTTTGAAGGTGGAAAAGCAGGGAGATGGGTCGTTATCTCAAGTCCTTTTTTCAAAGCCCACGCAATGAGTACAATTGGTTCTCCGTGTTCAGCCGTGTGTGCAGATGTAGGAATATATGTGTGCATGCACCCGCTTGTGTGTGTGTTGTTGCTCAGATGATAATTTACAGGAATATTTAGCATAGATGCAAATCCATAATTGTTTCTGCCTGCTACACATGAAATAAGGTAAATGAGATGTTAGGATTGGGCCGCAGTGATAGAGGAGGGTGATTTAAAGCACTTATCCCGGGCAAGCACATGGTCTTTTAAAGCTAAAATAGAATTGTCTATTTAAAAAAGTATTTCAAGGCCCGCCCTCCCGTCTGTTAGAAGGGCACAGGTCTTCATTATCAGAGTCCTGGTCTACAGAGAAACCACAAACACCGAAATAGTCCTAACACAAAACAGACTCCCCGGATATAGTTATCTAATCACAACCAAAGTAACAGCAGATAAACCTCTAAGACCCATTGGGCATCAAGGCTGTTTGGAATGGATTGGAGGGTTCTAAACACCATCTAGATGTCCTGATTAAAAGTAGCCTGGATTGTGACAATTTACATTCCCAACATCCTGGCAAACAATGAACAATATCTTTTTAAATAATTCAGGCTCCAAAAGTACCTAAATCCTTGCTTATAAAAAGACTAAGAAGGACACAAGGAAATTACTCCTTACCACAGAGTTGTACTCAGTGATAGTAAAACTGCCTCACACAAGGTCTGGGGAACAGCCCTTAACCTCCTCGTACCTGACACCAAAAGCAAAAATTGCAAAGACATCAGTAGAAGTCGACTACTTTAGAAAGACTGTCAAAAAGTGCCATAATAAAAACTGAAAACCAAAAAAATTTGGAGAGAAACGTTTACAACATAATAAGAGGCTAATATTCTGACTACGTCAGTCGAAAGGAAAACGATGAGTAGCCTGGAGGGATCATCTGTTTTACTGGCAGCATCCCTTTCTTTCATTTACAGAACGCTTCCTCATGGTAAAGTCATACCATGTGGCTAGGTGAAAACATTCCCCACATCTACCCAGGTGGGCACTTGAAGTGGGTCAAGAGACTTGGCCACATAACCCATGCACTGCAAATGGCAGCTTGATATGTGATGAAAAACTAGTACCATTTTACATCAGAAGACACCGTTTCCCACCTATCAAAATTGGTGACTTTTCCCCTTTGCATTTTCCAAACAACACCAAGGACTGGTAAAGGAGATTTTCAGTGCATACCAAAATCACTGAAAGGGAAAAGCCCATGTTTATACCAGAGTTCTGGCAATCATATCTTAACCAAAGACTCAGAGTTAGCATCATTAACAGGATGATTTTAGGTGCCTCCTGATGTGATGCAATATGAAATACTTAGCATCCCCCATGAAGTACTCTTGACAAATATAATCAAGCCTCTAGAACTAACCCCATTTACAGGAAACACAGGAGGTAGAGGAATGAATTAAAGGACACTTAGGGAAACACAAATCCAAGATGTAGAAACTAGTTTTTTAAAAAGTTTTTTACTTTTGGATTAATAATCTAAACAGACATAACCAAGTGTAATGCATGCAACTTGACAGAATCCTGACTCAAAAAATAAGTTGTAAGATCTTTGGAGGACAGCTGCAGAAATTTGAATATGGACTGAATATTAAGAGTTGATAAATTTTCTTAGATGAACATGGTATTGTGGTTACATTGGAAAATGTCATAGGAAATGCACGGTGAAATATTTAGGGGTGAAAAAGAATTCAGCATAAATACACACATGTACACACTTACATAAAGAAAATAGGGTAAAATATTGTTCAATCTGCCCAAATAGTTTGCTTCAGGGATGGTCATGGATGCATTCTTTATAGTATCCCCAAATTAGAAATAATGTCTAATAAGGGTGTTGAATAACTACTTCTGAAAATTTGTAATAGACAAGATCTGACATGGAAAGTTTTTGTAAAAATATGAAAGCCCAGCAGAGATGTTTATAACCCATCTTTCAAATGAGATCTCTTCCCTATAGCTTCATTTAAAGTAAAACACTCCGTTTTCCCAACTTGTCATTGCATGCTTACCAGTTACTGCCAACTTGTCCACTTACCTCAGGATTGCTGAGGCTGGGTCCCTGTTTGTTCATTAGGATCAATGTAAATAGGTCACCCTAATGAAAGGAAGAACAAAAAATTAGAGAGGAAGAGGTAGGTGGTGAGGCCTTCATCAGAGTTGTCAGAGGCTGGAGGGTCAGGTGTTGGGATTGTGGTACAGTGTGGGGAGGGAATGTTAAAATAGCCCCCAGTTTCTGAGTGTTTATGCCAGGGACTATGATGAGCACTGTCCATACATCACCTAATGTGGTCTTTGCTTCTACTCGGTAGATACCAAATCAAAAAAGTTTATGAGAAAATATCCCTAGATAGGTCACACAGCAAAACAGAGCCAGGATTCAAATTCAGGAAGTTAGGCCCCTTCTGATTTCCTGAAACCACTGAGGTGGAGTATTTCTTTCAGAGCAGCAAAGGGAGGAGACTAGATGCCTTTCCATTCCTTTCAATACCAACATTCTACAAAACTGTCACCCAGCAAACAAACTGAAAATAGGCAAAGCTGGTCACTGTTGCACATGGCAGTTGAGGTTTGAAGGATCAAAAGCCACACTGGTGATATCAAGGTGATGTGTGTTTGATTAGGATTTTGAAAATAAACTGAACAGGAGGATGAGTTACCCTCTGCCCGCACTTTTCCCATTTCAACAATAAATACATACTATGAATGAGGGAACATTATTCCATGTGAGACTCTCCTTGGCTGTAAATGGTAACTACATAGAACCATTTTAGGATTTTTTAAAAAAATTCAAACAAAATGGAAGCATGATTCAACTCCAGTGATGTCTCTAAATTTTTATTAATTTTTTTTTTTTACAGCTCTATCCTCTTGTGAAAAGGAAAGAATTTAAAGGTGAACAAATCAATTACATTTTTTTTTTACAGCAATTAATCCTCATTACAGAGAACAACAAAAGATCTGTGGCACATTCTCTTTGGAAAGATCTTTTGCAAATTTTTCATCTAAAAAAAGAAAACAAACTATGTAATTCTCACAGACCACATATGTCTCTTTCAAAGGACTATACAAGGCAGCTAAATTTTATTCACAAAAGCCCAAAGTTGCGGTTCCATTGCTCAAGTAGATAAAATACATGGAGTCCCCTTTATCCGTGTTGCACATCTTCCCATGGAGAGCATCGCTGCTTCCCTATCCTACAGACAGCGTCACTGTGTGGACTAGAGAGCTGGCACGTTATTCCACAATAATTAAAGGAAAATTCGTATTATTTTAGAGATAGACCAGTGATCATTTATCAACTGGACATTTTTTTCCTTTCTAAAACAATTTTAATAATACCAGGATTTGACTTTCCTCTAAAGTTATAAGAAAGCAAAAAATATATAATATAATATAATATATAATGGTAATAAATAAAAAATGGCAACCCTGCTCAGGTATCATCCAAAATGATCACATTCAGAAACAAAAAATTTAAAAAAGATTTGGGACAGACGCATACGCATACGCATACATACACACACACACACACACACACACACGCGCGCGCGCGCGCGCGCGCACACACACACCAACATGAACAGTGTATACTTGGTATCTGAGGGGGGATGTGCAGTAATTTTTAACAATACATGTTGACGGCCTGAACAAAGGCGAAGTTAATACTGCCTGTGTTAAGCATCGCTTAAACATCTACTTTTAAGCAAAGCAGGTTATCTTCTTAGGTCAGCCACTGCCTGGTCTGACCAGTGCAGCTCGGCCAGCCTCACTGTCAGTGGTCTTCTTCCCTCGTCCTTCCAGGCCAATACAGTAATATCTGGGCTCACAGGGAGCTGAATGTTTCCTTCCTGCCCTCCTGGGTAGAGAAATACAGGCACTTCTCCACTCACCACAGTACCTGTTGATATCTGACGCACAGTGGGACAGAATATAGTGTGATTTCCCCCCAGGTCAATAGGAAATTTACAGCCACCTTAGGAAAGGTGGCAGGTGGTGCTTGCCAACTCATCATAAAAATGAAAGAACATGGCCAGTGGTCACAGTTCACTGTCAATCACTGAGAAACCAACACAGCTTTCTGTGTATGTGAGATTCCTATGGTAGAAATACCACTTGCAATGTTTGAAGGAAAATCCCCAACACCGCATTATTCTGCCACTCCACCTCCTGCAACCAAATGACAAAAGAAAAAAAAGGGCACAGGACAAAGCCTTACATCCATAAAACCTAAATAGGACCAAAACCAAAAGAGGCAACCCATTAGAGAAAGGGAGGGAAAGGAGCAGGGACCGCCACGAGCCCGACACCCCTCCACAGCCACATGCGAAACTCACTTGCCAGCGATCAAACCTTCGTATCTGTGTCTCTAAAAGAAGCCCAAATAGTCTCGCAAGATTTAAATACTGCTAATCAGCGGTCAAAAGTGTAAGAGATGATGGGGAAAAGTTTTTCAAAGATGGTGTGTAGTGTCAGGAAAATAAATCCTTAAGAAAAAAGTAGAGTCTGTGGTGGGAGGTGGGGGATCAAGCCTTACTGGATTAATTTACCTGAAGATGCACAAATACGCCTCCAACTTTTGTGAAGCAGAAGAGCAAAAGGGGCAAGACCCACCTAACACCTCTTAATTAAAGCCATGGCAAAACAATACAGCATTATTCTAAAACTAGGTTTGGTCAACCAAAGGCACAATAAATATATCCAATTCAACCAGTTTCTCATATTCTGTGTGTGTGTGTGTGTGTGTGTGTGTGTGTGTGTGTGTGTGTGTGTGTGTACACACATACACNACACATACACACGTCTCCTTCCATATCTCAGAGCTAAAAGTTGTGTTCATTTTGGAGGGCACAATGGTTTCTTTCTACTGCTAAAACTTACTGAACAGGAATCAAAATAGTAAACTCCGGATCTTAGTAACATTAACATTTAAAGTACCAATTAAGGCAAGTTTTTAGCCAGAAAGGGGTAGTTTCTTTTAGCTTCTAAACATCCTGAGATCTGGAATCAAAGGATATAGAGCAAGGGAGATAAGTGTGATCCAATTTGTCTAAGGGAAATAGAGAATATATTTTGGTCAAAACAGATCTATAAAATAAAGGTTCTTTTGTTCAAAGAGATCCGATATTTTCTGCATTTGGTGTTGTGATTAAGTCATAATATCAGATACGTCATTGTATGGTAGTTCTAGTCCTGATAATATGCCTACTGGACCCTCCAACTCTCCACCACAGCTCGTATGTGGCCTATGTTTCCACGTTCTTAACCCAGTGGAATTTGATAAATTCCAGTAAAGTATTTTTCTTCGTTTACCAGGGCCCTTAGTCTGGCTAAAATCTCAAGTTCAGGGATTCACATTTTAATTATCTCGAGAAAGGATAGAAACATTCAACATTTTTTAAAGTAAAACAGTGTCCTTCCATTTCCTAGTAAAGACACACAGACACACCCACAGACACACCCGAAACTGTAGTGCCAAAGGCAAGATTTTACACTCCATTTTTACAGAATGTTTTGTATTTGTCTCACTGTGAAGTGTGTACTATTACTGTTATAAAAACTTAACATATTCAAAGGTAATTTATATTCTAGTCCTTTCAATTATCTACCTCAGTACAAATTTTGCGTTTGGGATTTTAAGCATGCAGTGAAAAAGTGCAAATTATTTAAAACCCTTTTGATTTCTATATACAACTGTAACAGCAAAAAGAGCTTATGAACAATAAGGATTCACCAGCCACTGCCTTTTCACACTCTATTTAAAAAGTAGGCATTAGGAATTCTCTTCTAGGTACAACACAAGTTGCAGTAAGAATCAGAAATAGTCCTTGATCAAAATAGTACAAACCGATCTCTGCAAATTCATTAGTTTTTCAAGGTATAAATAAAATTTTAATATAAAGTTCAGGGGGAAAAAAAAAGGCCACTGAAAAAGCAATCGCTTCTTTTAGCATCGGCTGAGATCGAGTTGGAAATGTCCTCAGTCGAGGGAGCACTGTGGCTTGCTGACAGGACACACACTCCAACCCCAGCACAATCTGCACAGCTCAGAACCTGTCCCAAAGAACACATTCTTCCACATTAACAAGTGGTTTATACCGGGGAGTAACAGGGTCAAGAGGGAAAAAATGGCCAAGAGAAAAGAAAAGAAAAACAATGCTGAATAACTACATCAGCCTGATTGTGGTGTCTTATCTCCTACACATACGAGACGGACACATAATGCCACAAGCATACAATCTACCAGGCAATTGCTGTTCACTTAACAACAGGTTGCTTTTTAAATGAGTAACTGAAAAAGGACCATGACTTTGCTTTAGAATGTCAATACATAAAATTGGTCCATCAAGCTATCTGAAAATATCAAAACTTCCAACATGAATTTTTTGTGCTCAGATATTACTACCTGCTGTAATTCTCTGGCTTTAACCTAAATATGAGGTAACAAACCTCTGCTCCAGCCAGTGATGACAAAAGAACTGGCTGATAAGATGCTGAAGGAACAACTTCAGACAGTTCATACTGTAAAAAAGAAGCATCACTCCCATCTTCTACACATCCCTTTATATATTTGCCAAATTCCCAAGAAAGTTCTTACATTCATCATATGGACCTCAGACTTCTTCATTATAAATAAAGATGGTATTCCCTTCTTCACTAATAAATAAATAGGAAAATGTCAAACATGCTTGGTAGCAAACAACATAGAGAGGGGCAGAACAGGGGGAAGGAAGAAAAATAAACCAATTGTAGAGATAATACTCCTCAATTTTAATGTGTGCAAACTCTACTTCTAAAAGGAATAAAAAGAATTGGCTTTTAAAATCAATGCCCTCAAAATAATGCTTCCAATAATAAACTTCAAAGTGTCAATGAAAAAGAAAATCTGTGCTTATGGATATGTGGGAATTCTGATGTGTTCTTTCATTTTAGGTCATTCAAAATGATCTGTTTAATGTACATAATATGGCAATAACGATATATGGGAAGGCCACAGTTCCTCTTCAACCTATCAAATCTAGTTGACTGAGAACACTCTAGAGTGAAGGCATGTGGTGATGATTTTTTTTTTTAAATCTAATTCACCACTCAATCTCCACATCCTCTCAGGGAATTCATTTCCCCTAGACAATTAAGGGCTCTGAAAAATCTAGTTTTGCTATAAATATAAAATAATTTGTAGCAGAAAAATATAGCCTCTCTAAGAAGTAGATTCCATTTTTCTTTGTTCAATGACAAAATTCTGAGTTGGTTAGACAACATGAGTTACCACATAACTAGACCACAGATCAGCACCTCGAATTCCAGCTCTACTTGAACAAAAATTAAAAAGCCCTTTAGCCAACTGGTCATGTATAAATGTTGGTTCCCTTCTTCCCCAAGGTAGAAAATCCAGAATCCAGTCAATGGCGACTGCCTTTTCCTGAAGAAGGGGATGGGAACGGCAGCGCCGCGTCCTCCAATGGCATCCCCATGTGCTGCTCGGACTCGGGCTGCCTTTCAGCACAGTAATGAAGAAATCAGGGCTGGGGTGAACATGCAGTACTCCAGGCAATGGAGGGTTGCCCTCGATTCTATAAATTATGACAATACTTGGTATTATCAAAGCCACTGTTCACTGGCAGAAAAGTGGGGTACAGTGGAATCCTTCACAATTTATGTTTTATGGATGACTGTTAGAATCTACTGAACAAATACATCCCCAAAAAACTTAAAAGAAAAAAAAAATCATCCACATAACCCTACACCAAAATTCATTGTTAAAAATATTGCCTTCTGGGAATGGATTAGTGTGGCTACTGGGATGACGTGAATTTGCTTTCAGAGTTGAAATTGCTTCTCTTTCATTTCATTTGTGACTTGCATCCTGCTGGTTTGAAAAAATACGGAAATGTTTCTAGACCATTCACACCCCCCTCTTAGGCTACATTGCACTTCTGTCCTTTAGTTAGGAAAGGCAAGATCAATCTCTGAAGCCAGCCTCCTCGTGTCTGCTTCTGCATGGCCATCGTGCCCAACCAATGATCACATGGTTCTTGAGAGAGTTTAGGTGGACCAATGTCCTGGCCATCTCATGGTGCTTCTCAAGTTAGGTGTCCTGATGAGACAGATGTCTGGACTGTTTTTGAGGCTTCCAATGTGCAAAAAAGTTCCCAAGGCATCAAGTCAACTTGGGGCTCCATTAAGGTGTTTTGGTTCCTTGTTTTAGCCACTGAAAACCCTGTCTTGTGTAGTACACCAGATCCGTTAAACTGCTGTTGAGGGCCAAGGTGCACACACTTGTGCTGAGCTGAGCAAAAAACTCTGTAAACAAAGCAAAACCAAAACCAAGTAAACACACTTGCAAGCACAAAAATAAGAAATGGAAACAAAACGTCAAGTTTCTAGATGCAATCCCCACAATAGTCTGTATTTCATCTATCACAGCAAAGAATCACCATCTACTGTTATGGCTTGCTAATTCTCCACATCCCTCCACTAGACTAGGAGGGTAGGAACTGGCTCTTATTTTATTTAGAGTTGAAGCCATAATGCCAAGCACAGTGGCTGGCACTGGAGAATACCTAGTTTATACTTTTGGATCAATGGATGCATGAAAGAAAAGACAAAAACCCAACATGTTGAAAAGCATCATTAGTTTGTAAGAAGTTCTAAGAGGCTGTGAGGAAATTAAGTGGCTACAGCCAGGAAAAAAATATGTCATGGCAAGAATCTGGTATTTACATATAAGCCTTTACTTAGTGGTCACTGGCACTGACGTCATGCTCTGCCACCTCCTAAACCTTGGACTTCCCCAAGGGCTTTCTCCTCATACAAGTTTCAAGAATGCTAACTTATGCCACATTTCTTGTACTGTCACTAACCATCTTTCTTAATGTATACTGAAAACAGACTCAGTATTTAGGTTTTGCTACTTCATATCTCAAGCTTGCTGGGCCTAGGGACAGCCAGAGACTTTCCTTTTTTCATTTGTTCTGCCCTTTTGCTAGCGTTTCCGTTCAGGCTGAAATGATGATGCCAGAACTTCTGAAAGTGCTGAGGCCACTAATTTTGCTAAGGTTCTAGCCACAGAAATTCGGTTCCATGCCACAGAGCTCAAGGCAGCATTGGGACTAGGTTAGGAGGCAAAATGGAGGAAATGAAGAGTACATAGCTACACTCTTCCTTTTCCTCAAAGAAATGACCGTAAAGTCCACACAACACTATTCCCTCCCAGTCCCCGTGCCCCAGTAATTACCACCACAGAGCCATTTACCTTTATTCTTCCTTGTAAGGACCTCAGCCTGTTCCCAAAGATCAAAGGCGGTAAGGATGTGGGAAGTGATAGTGATATAGGAGGATGTCATATTTTGGATGGTGGCAGGCATCCCACTGCTCCCCACACTGCCAGCGCTGGACTGGGATCCTGTGGAGCTGGCAGCAGAAGGCATTGGAGAGCGAGGGGATGGTGTGCCTGTGCTTCTAGAAGGTGAAAAAAAGAGAGAACTGCTTAATCACCTCAATCCCCAGACTACAGGTTTCCTGTCTCTGGAACTGCAGGCCAAGTCACCAAGTTTCAGTGTGGACTAGCCCAAATGACAGTCGCTTCTATAAGGTCAAAGAGATAACGTCCACTTTCAGTATTTGGGGAACTTATTCCATAAAATACAGTGGGATGGGACTCGCCAAATAGAAAGGGTAACTTGATGGACGTCAGATGTCCTTTGCTGGACATAGAATCAGGTGGGTAGGTCTGTATTTCAAACCTGTTTTCTCACTGTTGACATCATCTGCTTCCTAGACCTGGAGTCCCTTCCTCTCCTACCGCCATCCCACTTCTCCCAGTAAGACACACTGCCCTGTGAGACAACCCTAATCTCTCCTATGTTCATTCTTTCATCACATTAACTGAGCACCTAATCAGCTCCTGGCAGTTTCCTAGACACTGGATATATATCCGGGCTTCTTTTTTCCACTAAACTTCTTTCTTCGCATTTATTAACTTCATCTATTGCATTTCTCACATTCCATTATTCCTTTCCCTGGGTCACAAGCACCTTGAAAGCAGGGGCCATCTCTTATTCATCTTTGCATTTCTAGCACTTAGCAGAGTAGGTGCTAAGGAGAGGCTCTTGATAAGTACGAGCTGAATCAATGCATGACTGTGGGAAGGCAAGGAAGTGTGACGTATCAGGGGGGTCATAATCTTCTCTTTACTCTCGTCTTGCCTATATACCTGTACATGTGAGTGAACAAGTGCCTTGATGTGGGTCAAATGAGAAACAAATTAAATAAATCACTTAGACCTAACGGGTATAAAATGGAAAGGTGGGTCAGCAGCAACCTCATAATGAGGTTACACCTGCCCTTTGGGTTGAAGGACTAGAGTGGAAGCTCCATGAGGGTGGTGACTCTTTGTCTGCTTTGTTTACTGCTGCATCCCCTGTACCTAAAACAAGGTTTGGTACAAGGAAGGTACTCGCTGGACAAATGCTAAAATAATGTAACTGACAACATATTAACTTAGAATAATACCTCAGAGGTGGAAGTCATGAAAATTTTCAGAGGTAGGCAGTTCCTTCTCAATCAGGACTTTCTTTTTTTTTTTTTAAAGAGGCCATATGGGAATCTCTTCCTTTGAATGTGCTGGAAATGGGGCAATCTTCTAAGTGATATTCTTAAAATAGCAAAACCTATCAGAACTGAGAACTTGTCAAGGAGTATGACCAAACTAAAAAAAGACTAAGCAAGTATTACAGGGAAGAAAATTCTATCTTCACCTTAAAAACACTTGCAGAAGGATCCTGTTTTTCAACATCCTATGGCATAGATGAACAAATTCAGTTCACAAAGTGAGGAAAGAATTTAACTGGAAATAATAATTTTTGTTCTTAATATCACTGGTATGGATCTTGGAGAAGGTGGAGGGCATGCAGTTCTGGAAAGTTCTTGTTTACTGAAATACCAAGGTGATGTGTATATATGGAGAAAGGGTTTTGGCTCTGGTTCCATCAGCTCGGCCTCTAGTTGTTTTGTGTCGTTAGGCATATCTATAGATCCTCAAAGCTCTAACATTTTGACCCTATATTCTTTGGAATTATCTTTTTATGTTATCCAATCAGCAAATGCCTTGATTTATAACTATTACTCAAATAGGGAGAAATACACAAATAATTTAAGTTTAAGGAGCAAATAAGCACATAGTCATAGATGTGTACAAAATTTTAAAAGCCAAAGTCACATGTATGCAAAATCGTTGCAAAAGCAAGAGGTAACTAATGACCCAATACCGTAATTTATTTAAATTAGCTTATCATTACCTTGCAATGCATGGAGAAGGTGCCCGGGCAACTTTGGAAGAACTCTGGAAGTGTTCATTAAGAGTACGAGAATACTTTATTGCTCTATCTTTTTTACAACGAAACATCGCCATGTTCAAAATGGACTGGCAACGCATGCTATGAACAGAAAGAGAAGTTCAAGTGTTACCTTGTAGATATGAGTGTCACTGTTATAGAAAGACAGCCATCTAAACTTATACAGCCTAACAAACACACTCATCTGCATGACGAAGAACATCTTAAGAGTCTTACTGTCATCAGAAATATTAGTAGAAAAACACAAATATACAAGGATACCATTTAAATCACAAGACTAAAGCATTCATTGAGTTATCAGCAAAATGGCAGTAGGTGCCATTTCATAATAATTAACTATCAGTGGGAATAATCCCTTGACCTTAATCTTTTATTGATTCAACTTTCACTATAATTTTCATGCTAAGTAAACAAATTTGAAAATCTTTTTGTACATCAAAAGATACAAAAGCAAACGTGACACTATTTAGGAAAAGAGAAAAGTACTCACCATAAAACAGCAAGTATTTTCTCTTGTGTTGATGCTGTGGAGTCTGAGAAGGATTTCAGTGACATTATGAATCTGTAGGAAAATATCAAAATAGATCCTGTTAAACAAAAGAATAGAAAAATCCCTGACACAATGACATCTTATTAGGTTTGTCTCCATTTTATATTGATTTTTCCTGAAGATGTGGAGACAAGAGCAATATAGAAAAAATGAGGCTTTGGAGCAACAATTCAGGCCATTCAGAAAACGAGGTAAGGGCGTGTCTCTTCCATGGCCTGTCCATCAACATGAACCCAAGTAGACTTGTGTCCTGACTGAGTCCCCTGTTGAAATGCAGATAATAAAGAAGGAAGCTAAAACTGAGCTGAGAGGGCATCTGATAAGAAAGCCAAACTGGAAAAACCAACCTCTCTCCCTGAAAGGTTTGGCATTTCACACTGCACTTGGCAAATGATGTAGTTGGATTCAGCTTTTCTGTTCTAGTATTCACCTAGGATATAATTTTAGTTCAGGACCAAAAAAAAAAAAAGTTCCTGGATCAGTCACTTGTTTTAAGGCCTTTATTAAGCTGTCTTCACACTAAGGTTCAAATGGATTATGGCAATAAAGGTGAAGAAAGAGAAGTACTTAAGAGGATGGCAAAACGACCTGGCACTTACTTAACGAGGACTTCAGCTTCAGAGTACATCGAGTAAGCCGACTTGGATGCCGGGCTTTCCGACTCCATGGCAATCCCACACTCAATGAGGGTCAAGGCAGCTTCCAAGTACTTAGAAGCCTTCCCAACCTTGTCCGTCTGTAGAAGAAGATCATGATCACTGTTAGGCCTAAACCAGACTTTTCCTTAGTTTCTCACCCACATTCTTTACTGCAACTTCCCTCTACTGTCATAGATTAATTATGGCCACCAAGAAGTGTGAGAACAAACCACATTCAAATAATTACCAAAGCCTGTCGGGTCTGACCTACTGAAAATGTTCTTTTAGCACAAATTCAGTAGGAAAAAGACAATAATGTTGTAATAAGACTATGCTCTCAAAACCTTATTAAAGTACATATTCAAACTAAGGCAATGAGGCAATCTTTGTTGTTAGTATGCAATTACTCATTATATAATTTTCCTAAGAAATTGATTATTCTATACATTTAGATAACAGACACAAGTTTCTTTGCAGGTATTGAAGTTTATCTTATAATCAGTAGAAAACATAATGAGCATCGTAGATATTATGTCAAACAATAATCGTTTTGTTATCTCAGAGCCCAACAGACTGTCTAATCTCCTTTGGAAGTCTGGGTTAAATGTACCAGGCTGTCCCCTGGGTGAACAGGGATAAAACTGCAGAGCTGCTTAAAGGGGATGTAGAAATAAAAATGAAATCCGATACTGGTGGTCACCTAAACCTAAAGACACATTTTATCCCTTAACGCTCTTCTCACTTGGTGGAATACAGGCAACTCAGCTGAGACCACACATGGCATGTGTACCACACACTGCAGGAGCAACTAACACGACACCTGCAAGTTTGTAGTTTCTGCTAATGCTTCCAATTTGGTCATGTTCAAAAAGAAAGAATGACAACAGTGAAGATGCCAGTGGAGTATAAAAAGATAGGGACATATTAGCAAAGAAAGATGGTTTAGCACTGCTAATTTTAATGTTTTTTAAATAACCTGACAAAATTTTTTTCTTAGAGAACCTAGGCTCAGAAAATCAGTGACAGAAAGAATAAATTTATCAAATTAGCATGACCCAAGTAATCAGCAGTACAGGGTCTTATTGGTCTGCTTCGCTGGTGGGAATTTAACTCTTCAAACTTATTTAATACGTCTTTCATGGAATTTCCAAAATTTGTATTGGCCTCAGTGTATAAAGAGAAGGAATGACTGTAATGCAATCTGTCAATATCCACCTCCTTAAGTGTTTTGTAAGGCTGATAATGCAAATATACCTATGATACACTCTCCATGTATCTCCTGCGACAGTGTTAAAGTACTAGGGTTCGTATTTCCCTGCTCAACAATGAATATAATGCAGAAATGAAATACACTCCTCTATATTCAGCTGTGCACTTAACTATTTGGAATGTGAAACGGACATCTTTGAGACACTGTGCAATTAAATGACAATAATTCAAAGAGGATGGCCATTCAGGTTTTTGTCCAAACTGGCCTATGTTGACTTGAAATGAGATATCATTATTTATTAAAATGGGGTGCAATGGGCATAGATCAGAACTGTCTGGGACTTCCAGTAAGATGGCACTGTGCCAAATGCCTCCCAGGATCACACCAAAATTACAAATAATTTATACAACATTCAATCTCGGAAGTCCCTTGAATACTAGATGAACAGAACCTCTAAACGAAGGACTTAAAGAGGAGGCCACATCAAGTCTGGTGGGAGGGGCGGAGACAAGAGGGTAAACCCTATGAAGGATACCTCAGGAGGGGGGG